GTAACATTATTTTCAGATTTCGCTGGACATGGAATAAGTGCACTCCGAAACGTTCTGTAAATAAAATGCTTTGTGTTTTATCAACCGTCTTGATCTTTATTATCAGACTTCACTTTCCCCCATCGTGAATCCAAACCTAATATATCTAACATCTCACAAAACTATACAAGTGTTTAAAAATTAAATGCCTTACACAACAAATCGTTGTTCTTAGCCCCAAACTACACAATAGGCTATTATTTGCGCTACGTTCACCGCGGGAAAACGAACCTAGTATTTTAGCGTTTTATAAGTCCTTAAACTTACTGCTTACTCGTAAGTTAAGATATATTTTCAGAGCAGTAATTTCACGTGGTAGCCAGTGAAAGCGTGCTATCTCAGATATCTTTATATTGTACACATGTCTCAGGAGCATATATGAGTTATAGCATTTTATGCGAATAATATTATTTTATGAGAACTTGATAAACGAATTTGACATTTACATGCAGACATCGAGGAAGTGTAGGATATGAACAATGAAAACAATGGCCTCATTTTCGTTCCTAGAAATTAGGAGTGGCCTAATAAATTAATCAATTCTCACACTCCCATTAGAACATTGAAATATCAACTTACCAACTAGCAGCAATGTTACGAAGATGGGGGAAAACATAATCATGATGGATTCTTTATCTATCAAAAACCATAAGAATATCGAAAGTATCTGTTGTCGCTCAATGAACATTTAGTGGTTTCTGTAACAATCTTCTATATCCCTATTACAAAACTGGTTTTCGTGTGACGACAGCAAACACGCGGAAACTTAATTTGCGGTATTCTTAATTGTTCTCCTACTGAACACTGTTTATCGCTTTAACTCAAACAAGCTGTATTGGTTTATTTTTCATTACTTCGTGATTTATTTGTCTTTTGTGTCGTTTTTTTATTGTTATAAGTCTTCAGAATTACCACTGGGGGCGTGACTTCGTGATTATCATGGACATATTTTTACTTTCCTTATTTTCCTCCAGAACACGTAGTTGTTTATATCCATGCCTTCAGTTGAAGGTTGATTTCGCCGCGCCCAGGACAAGTTTAGGTTTTATCGTTATCCAAGTGTGTGTTTTCTTGGACTATCTGTTGTATTCACAGAGGGAAATCGAATCGTCCTTGATTAAGAAAAGAGAAATGTATGTAGCTAGTAACTACTTCAAGGAAGGAGGCCGAATATAGAAAAGTATTTGTTATCACAGTTTTGTGCTGTTCGGGACTACTTGTCATATTTTAAGTTATAGTTTAAGGTTTCAGATAAGAGCTTTCTGACGTCCTTTTCATGGACATGCCACACGACAGTGCAAATTGCAATGTTAAGCGTCGCTTACGTGACATCATTTTATTGTCTACTGACTGATTGACTCACAACATACTCTGTGGTGTGAGTGATTAACCCTTTCGGCCCGGTTACACTTTACTGCGCATGACACGAAGTTTTAGTGTCTTACATTAAAAATTTTATTAAACTACTTTTTGCTTATGTTATGCCAATTAGAATAGCATAAAATCTTAGCTAATAATCCATATTTTAATATTATACAAGTTTTAAGTTCTTAATTCTAAAAGGAAATATATAAACAAATCCTGAAATTCCACTAGTGTAACATATGTAACACAATTTGTCTTAGCATGTCATCATCCCTATTTTATTCATCACCCCTTGAAAATGTACGAAATTAAACGTAAAATACACTCTATAAAACCGTTATTGCTGAAACAGACCATAATTTTTATAAACTTCGATTTTGTTTGGTTACAGAGCTATTCAATAGAAAATCAGACACCTCCTGCCACACCCACTTGTCACATCCTCTCTTGCACAATTCGTTGATAGTTCTCTCGTACGTTATATTACCTATAAACAATAGAAAGTCAAGATTTTAGTCTATCAAATGACGTATTGTATAACATTGTATTCTGAACATAATATTGTTAATTTCACTCACCGTACAAGATTCATTCCCGTGGGAAAGTTAACGACCAACTTGGAAGAATTTGTAACGGCTCTTGTCGCAATGTTAGAAAGCCAGGAAAATTTTGAGAGGTAAGTGAATTTGTCTACTTTTTGCATCTTATTAGTATATATTCTTTGGTGTATTATTTAATTAAATGAAAATTGTTTACTGCTTTAGTATAATCACTTTAAAAAATCAGGCTTAACTGTCCTCGCAATCGAGGTCAAGAAAAAAGAAGATTGTGTAAGTACTTTATTTCTTGTTTTTCATATTTACTTTTGTTCGGGTATTGTAAAGTCAGTTAGAAATCGTGCTGTGACTGAATTTCTTAAGTATGCTCTTTACAGATGAACCTTGTTCCTAAAAGTGCCATAACTGTCCTGGGTTTCACCCCATGACTGCAGTATAATGATTGGGGATAGTGTTTTCTGGAGTTAATCGTTACTAACGTTGTGCGAGAATACATGTCGCATCCATGGACTTCCGCAGATATTTTTCCAGGGGGGGGGGGGTAGGCAAAGTCAAAATCAAGGGACGATGGACCCACCTTTAAAGTTTTGCCATTACAGTCAAGAGAATAGACAAGCTCCCACAGTCAGATTCGATGGGTTTAATATTTGTAAAGTTAGTTTAAGTCATACTACACTGCGATCTCTCTTCACGGCTTTCTCTCCGGGCTCGAGTCGTCATCTTCCGCGTCTCTTTTATATATATATATATACACTGAGGAACGTTTACTGTTTGATGCCGCTGTGGTTTAGAAACGTTAGGCCTATTACTGAATTAGAACTGCTTGTAGCATAAACGTTCGTATAATAACTTTAGTTTATTACAAACTTACACGAGAACACATTTCTTTAGTTTTTATTTGTCGCATGTATACAAGCTCGATGTACTATAAGATATATGGATTAGTTACATACATAAATATACATAGAAAACATTCTGGTAAAAATGTGTTTATTAGTGAGCAAGCACTGATAATCCGCTGCTAAACAACTTCGACGAATGGGTAGGCTCTGTGGTGGCACATTGTGAGCCGGGATCGAATCCGTCCTATATCACTAAATATTTCCCACACTTTAATAAGCTGTGGGTGCGTTATGAGAGTGATAGTTAATCACATAACGTGAATGGTGGGTGATAGAGTGCTGCTGATTGGTTGCTTTCCCTCTGGTTAGTAGTTCAAAATTTGGAATGACGGTATGTAGTCTCAGTAGCATTACCATATATACAAAGTGCAACTAGAACAATAAATAAAACCAAAATTAAGTTTAACAAATATTTTTATTTCTTGCTTTTCAAGTTCATATGTCATGCTGTGTTGTAGCCTACAGAGTGCATAATTATTCTCGTGATTTATGGCATGCGCATGTTTTACTGACGTCACGATAGTACAAACTGCAACGTTAAGCGTCCCTTTAGTGTCTACTGACTGACTGACAACACACTACTATTTCGTAGTGCGAATGGTTAAAGCAGATGACTCCTCCAGGCGACCTTTGGCTCCATTTCGGGGAAATTACAAAATTAGTACTGATCAACCACCCAGGCGGTTGCCATGGTGATCACCAACTGTGTCAGCCTGATTCACGTGCAATGTGTCCCACCTGATTGGGAGTAGAGTCTGAAGCGCAATATTTTTATACAACAATATAACATTATACCCAACAATATCAGCTAAAAACGTTTTGATAAGTCGAAACATAGAATGACCTTGACAAAATGATTTGTTGGTACGCCATACCGGCACTAAAATTCTTACCGGTACACCATCTGGACCAGACAGGCAGGTCCACCGGTAACAAATTCCAATCATATCATTGCGTTAGTATATTTGCAATAGATTCACTAGAAAGAAACCTTAATTTCATTATTAAAGGGTGTTTGTTTATTGTTAAGCACAAAGCTACACAATGGGCTATCTGTGTTGTGCCCACCAGAGGTATTGAAACCCGGTTTTTAGAGTTATAAGCCTTCAAACTTACTGCTGATCTACTGAAGGGCATTAAAGGGTGAAAAACTGTATTCAGTAAAAATATAATTAATTTACGTGATAAAACACCGTAATAGATTTGTTTACAATTTCTCTTTCTTTCACTCACCTTTTCTTCACTGAAATTCACGTTTTGGTGAAGACAAATAAATAAATATATATATAAATTTATTATATTCAACATAAGTATCCGTTGTTTTAACCATTATACTATGAAGACAATCGGGCTTAAAATGGGAAAATTAAGCGCCAGTTTTCCCTTTGTACATCTAAACATCTTGGGGTGCGCTTCAAGACCGGAAATGCACTTTCAAGTCTATTTATTTCAACAATCCGAAGTGGACATCAGATCTCTCACTCAGATCCACAATTCTAAGTAGTGATAAAACAGAGTTAGGACTCCTAATAAGAGAAAGTTTCTTCATAAAAAATAACTACCCTATTTTATACAAATATCACAATCGTCTTTCGTCCTCTATCCCTTTTCCATGTTTTTTAACCCTGCCTATCTCTTCTTATCAATTATTTTATATAAGCAGTAATGTGATTGTTAAAGCCTTGACTTTACCATCGTTTTAGGTGTTTCTTCTACCTTAGTTACAATCACTATGCTTTGACTAACAATACTATAACATATTATATATTGTTGTCGCATCACGTGATTAGTACACAACTTCGTGTAGGTTCATATTCGTCCATTTTAAAATCTAAGCCTGATTATGACCAAAGTAGAAACTATCCAAGCGTCGCCTTGAAAGTAATAAACATATCTATTACGGTGTCCAATCACGTAAATTACTCATATATTTTTTCATTTATAATGATTGAATTAAGTTTTCTTGCTCGTGAATTTACTTTTGGATTGATCCCATCAAAATAATAGAAAATTAGTATTTATTAAAACGCAAACACTGATATAAAACCACACCATTGATTAAAATGTAGACGATTGTGACTAACATGATTGCAATATTAATTATTTTGAATAAATTATAGCGTAATTGCTTTGTTTAAACTCATCTTCTCTAAAGAGGTAAGTCTAAATTAAAAAACAAACAAAAAATTTTAAATAGTAAGTACAGACACCACTAAAATATTGTACCAAAGCCTGTTATCTATAGTATGATGCTATTTTAAATCTTGATAATGTTCAAATTAGCAAATTAAATTTCTGATAATCGAGAAACAGGTAAACTGGTAATTAACTGTACTTAGATTTGGTTTCACTTTTCTTTCCTGTGATTAGGGTTACAATGAAACTGTAAACAGCGTGAGGAGAAACATCTGTTGGAATAGTAACAATATATGGTGCAGAAATTATAGCCTTATAATAAGCATTGTTGGAGTTATCTTTAATATATGTTAGTGAAGAGCAGTAATATTATTTAGCATTACATTCAAAACATAATATTATGGTCTTATAACAAACATTGTTGGAGTTACTTTTAAGATATGTTATTGAAGACCGGTAATATTCTTTAGCATTATATTCAAGACATAATATATATACAAAAATATAACGATTTAGTATTGTAATACGGACATTTGTAAATCAATAACCTATTATAAAATAATTTTCATAAATCTAATCTATTATACCATATTTAACATGAACGATGTACAAAACACAAATGCATTTAAATTAATTTCAACACACAGAACTATCTGACCTTCAAAACTCTTTAAGTGATGGAGAGAAAAATTATTTTTGTTTTTTAAAAAACAATCCCACCGTTGTATCCTTTATTCGGTACCTACAAGCATCACTTAGACTAGAAAGTATTCATTCAACAAGAAACTTAAGTTATTTTAAGCCAGGAATTGTAATGATTTATCTTAACAATAGCATTGTTACCTTAAATAGAGGTTTAGGTAATTGTTCCATGTGACAGTGCTATTGTTTTAATCCTCCTGGTCTGTGGTATTAGACTATATTTTGTCTTTTTTGCTGATGTGGTGTTTTGATAATGGGTTTTGAGAGTATGCAAATAATACTATACCATCTCTCGAGCTCTCTATCAGGACCGCGTTTACGTCATCACATACACTGACTAGGCACTTGATGTATGTTCATATCATACTCCACTTTTAGATTTAAACACCATTACTGTTTAATGAACAAACCGTAAAACATTAATCGTCATACGAATGCAGTAAATTATTTCAGCTAACATATCTCTCAGTTTAATTATTTATATTAATAAGAAATGTATTACAAAACATATTTTTTGAACTAGATATCGCTAAGCATAAACGAAGAACGTGATGAAATATTATGTTAAATTATAAAGAGGTTGGAAGAAATTTTTGACTGGATTAGCGCTTCGTAACAACCACAAGAAACACTAACGTTTGTAAGTATGTATATTAAGCCAACTTGCGAGGTATTTCAATGAAACTTACCATTTGATTACAGTGCTTAAAGAAAATTATTTTGTACAGGGTGTTATGTTTTACATTATCTTAAAACTATAATAGCGTATCAATAAAATACAGGGATTAGAAACTTTCGTTGAAAGACAATATTTAAAAAACAGTGAAAGATAAGCAAAGTTTTCAATTAATTATGGAAAAATCTATGTGACCATAATTTGGAATAAACACGTATTACATTTGAATTGAATTTCTGGTTTAAAATGGGGTTAAACAGTTGATTAGCGGTTAGTGCTAATGGTCTGATGTTTAAGTTCAACAGTTTATGAATATTTTTGTAAAACTAAGTATGTTGATGCATTTAATTTTATGAGTTGAAAATACCTTTTTTAATATTATCTTTCTATATTTGAATCAATGTATTGAAAAATCATTAGTGAAACTATTTTCACTTTATAGCAAGTGAAAATTAATGGAAAACTAAATTAATCTTTTGCATTTACATATAAATCACAATACGTTTTCAGTGTCAATAAACATGTCATCTGTTAAACAGACAAAAAAAATTAACAAGCATGATTTTGCTGTTTAAATGTGAAAAGGTTAAGGCACAAACATTACACATAAACATTGTTCAATATTTCTTTTCTATTTTTTTTCATTAAATCTGTATCAATCTGGGTGGAATGTAGGATTATCGTAGTATCCTTCAGAGCTGGTAGATGGCAGTGACGCAGCACCTTCATCAATCATTGTAACACTATTGTTACTGTCATCTTTAACATTAGGAGGTGAGTTGGCATGTTCTTGGCATTGCGTATCTACACTTTCAGATGGGGACGGCGACAGTTGAATTGTGGCTCCAAAACTTGGCTGATGACTGGATCCTATTAAAAAAGAAATAAATTCTGCACCCTCGGGGTCACCCGAATGAAGGATATCTGAGGTATTTCTCAGGGTAAACACATTGCCAGATAGACGAGGAACTGGAGAAAAAGAACGATGAATTTCTGCATCTGTGTATTCAGGTGGAGGGATTCCAACAATCTGTTGAAAATACGGATATTATTACTTTCTCTGATTCACAGTAATGTATGATTACTACATTCCATTACTGTAAACGTAGTTAATACTCAATTCAAGAACACATCTGCTCTCTGATTAATTTTGTTTTACTGAATACTAGGGTTGCACTGGTACCCGGCCAGATATTAAGGCCCCGGCCGAGTGTCGAAGATGAAAACAGTCGAGTCCGGGTAATTGAAAAGGGCCTTACTCTTTGTGACAACTAACGCGGTACTTTAAAGTTACAATCAATAATTAGTTTAGTTAAAAAAAAAAACAAAGGCTGACCGCCCGCTGAAAGTCGGGGATTTAGACAACAATAGGGAAGGTGGGTTTTTTTAAGAACAATAGGGGTAGGGTTTGAGAAGTTGGGGCTAGGCATTGAAAGCAGAAAGTAAAACTTGAATTTTCTGCTGATGATTATTCGGTTAAATGTAATAAACGCCAATTCTGTTTTTGTTTCTAATATATGTGTATGTTTTTTTTTGGGGGGGGGGCGAGGGGAAAACCCGGTTGACACCAGTAACGCAAAAGTGATTTCTTTTTTTTTTCAGTTATTGTTATTGACAAACATTTTATTTGAAATGCTTTAAAGTGGGGATGACAGTTCTGATAATGTAGTATCAATTTGTTAATACAAGAATTCATCGTCAGTGGTATATGTGTTAGAAAATGTACCAATGTCACTTTATCTTCAAATACGCGTCATATACCAACACAGAATGCTCTGTTCAAATTGTAGCCCACTTTTGGACCATCATGTATATATGCTTATATAAAACATGTGTTTCAAAAGAATCAATATGTTTGTGTAAGTTACCATTCGGGTATGTAAATTACTCTAAATGATTCCCGTTTGCATAAATTATTTTGTTCACGTATCTAATAAAAGGTGGCGTCATGGTTGTAGGAAAGCGCCATTACTATTGGGGAAACCACTAAGGTTTGGTTATCTGCGCTAGCCGTCCCTAATTTACCCGTGAAAGACAACTCTTGGGCTACTCTTTTACCAACGAATAGTGGAATTGACCATCACTTTATAACGCCCCCCACGGCTGAAAGGGCAAGCATGTTTGGTGGGACGTGGATTCGAAACAGCGACCCTCAGATTGCAAGTCAAGCGCCCTAACCACCTGACCAACACCAGTAAGAGCTGTGCATTTCTATACTTTGTTAGTTATACATTTTAGCCCCCAGTGGCACTTACAACGCCAGAATCCGGGTTTCGATACTCGTGGAGGGGAGAGCACAGATAGCCCATTGTGTAGCTTTGTGCTTAATTACAAACATAAGTTATACATTTAACCTTGTATATATAGTTTAAATAGTAATTTGTATATAGTATCATATACATTTATTTTACTGAGTACATTTTTCTTCTTACCTCCCTCTCTCGTTGCATAACTTCTTCGTAAGTTGGGGGTTTATCAACAGCTCTTAATGCTCCTAGTTCATCACTAATAGTAAATACATCATTAGATCGACTAGAATCTTGTCCGTTCCTTCTAGTGCCATTTCTTCGAGTACAAAAGGATCTGAAGCATTAAATGGTAAATTGTTATTAACTATGTACATCTTACATAATACATTTGATCTTATGAAATATGAAAACCAAAAATAACTACCTCATGGTACAGGTGAATATCGTCTGTTTTAAGATCACGCAAACGTATAGAAAATTGAAGGAGATGATAGATGTAAATAGAAACGAGCAAGCAGAAATATGTTACAACCCAATAACGTTTAACTGGAAGTATCGGGTGTGATTGTTCTTAACAAAATAGTTATTTATGTAAATGATCTGGATTATAATGCCAACAAAAATAATTTCTTTTCTAAGTAGTGCTGATTTATAATAAGAGCAAGTTCTATCATTTGAATTATACCACTGATAAATGATAATCTTTATGCGGTAGTAACTTATAACATTATCATGTGAAATATAGCACTAAGAGAACTAACATTATTATGTGAAATATATCACGAACAGAGTTAACACGTCAGTAATACCACTAAAAACATTTAACACTATCATGTGAATAACACCACTAACAGAGCTAACACTATCATGTGAATAACACCACTAACAGAGCTAACATTATCATGTGACTAATACCACTAACAGAGCTAACATTATCATGTAAATAACACCACTAACAGAGCTAACATTATCATGTGACTAATACCACTAACAGAACTAACATTATCATGTAAATAACACGACTAACAGAGCTAATGTTATCATGTGAATAACTCGACTAACAGAGCTAACACTATCATGTGAATAACACCAGTAATAGAGCTAACATTATCACGTGACTAATACCACTAATAGAGCTAACATTATAATGTAAATAATACCACTATCAGAGCTAACATTATAATGTGACAAGCGACTAAAAGAGCTAACACTATCATGTGAATAACACCACTAATAGAGCTAACATTATCATGTGACTAATACCACTAATAGAGCTAACATTATCATGTAAATAATACCACTATCAGAGCTAACATTATCATGTGAATAATACCACTAACAGAACTAACATTATCATGTAAATAACACGACTAACAGAACTAACATTATCATGTAAATAACACGACTAACAGAGCTAATATTATCATGTCAATACTATCACTATCAGACCGAACATTATCATGTGGACAACACGATTGACATAGCTAATTTTATCACGTGGATAACACGATTGACATAGCTAATATTATCATGTGAATAACACGACTAACAGAGCTAATATTATCATGTCAATCTAACACTATTATGTGAATAATATCATTAACAAAGCTAACATTATCATGTGAATAATACCACTAACAGTGCTAACACGTGAATGATATCACTGATAAGGAAAGAACTAACATTATCAGGTGAATAATACCACTGATAAAGATAAAACTAAGCTTTAACAAGGTAAAGGCGCATAACATTAACACGTGCTAACATTACCATTAAAAGCCATCTTCAGTAATAGCGTCCGTTTTTCTTGTTCATTAAGACGTATTAAATTCGAATGAAGTTAATATTATTTTACGCTTTTTCGATGGTTTGAAATCTAAATCACAAGAAATACATATATTAGCATCACGTGTGTATGATGTTTTGAGTAGCTTTATATTCACCGCATTAAGCCTATATTTATATATGATGCTACGGATTTATTCTTCGTATTTATTCGACTCACCACTTGTTACACAGTTACCGATGAGGGTTAAAATTTCCCGAAACCGGTATAACTCACAAGTGGTGAATCAAATGAAAGGTTATGCTTCATGTTTATTTTGATTAAATTAGTACAGTAATTAAAAACACAACATTATCTCATTAATTGTCGTCTAATTTAGACCAGCATTAACCTACTGACTATTCTAAACTGTAGGTACATCTTAAAAGTATTATCATTAGTTTATTGATTCTCCGTTTATTAGTTTGTAACCATACATAAGAGATAATACGAAAATATTGATAAAGTGAAATATTAAGACAAGTTTGTGTATCTTTCCACTACCTCGTTGTACTGGCTTAATATCGTCTTCCTTGATAAATTCTATTTCTATCTGTTTTAATTCTAGATTAACTATTTATTGGTATTTTTTCAAACATTTTCGATTACAAATATTATTTGCATAAATGTTTAGTTCTGATTAACTTGCCCCCCCTCCCCAGTGGCACAGCCCGTATGTCTGAGGACTTACAACGCTAGAATCAGGGTTTCGATACCCGTGGTGGGCAGAGCACAGATAGCCCATTGTGTAGCTTTGTGTTTAACTACAACCAAACTGCTTAACTTTAATGCTTTGTCTGGTGCGGTTTGGCTCACAGGGTGGATTTATATCCTCAGTAACTTGAGTGACGTCGTAACTAAAGAAATTAGTAATCAGATCCACGACATTTTCTCAAGACTGGTGGTCTAACTTAGACCAACCTCATAAATTAACAGGCCTCAAAGAATGAAAACGTTGATAATTAGTCGTTGAATTTAGAAATATTAGGTTGTACATTGAAGAATGTAAAGTTTATGTTAAATATAACTTCTTCGGAGTGTTTGTAACTATCTGGGGTAAGGAAGAAAATTAATAAGAACAAGAAAATATGTTCGACATAATTATTCGTTTATTCAAGTTCAGCAAGTTGTGAGTAAACTTTAAACTCAGATTTTTCCACGTATCTCCCAGTACTCTATCTTTGTGAACGAAACTTCTTTAATTTGTAATTTATTTTCGCTGTAAATTCGAATTACATATTACTGTTTTTATTGTTGTTATTTTAATACTGTAGAGAGATAAAAAACTAAAACATACCGTCGGATTATGCAAGTTAACAATATACCTAACACTGCGACCATGAGGCAGGCTGCGGCTATCATGGCTGCAGTGTAGACTTCCTTTGCTTTAGTAGACTCCAGGTCATCTGAATAAAATAAATCAAAGATCATTAGAAAAGCAGAAAAATAAATCTTTAAACATATTTTTATGTTTTACATTTTTACAGTACGCAAACAATTAAAGAATAATCGGAAATTACAGTACATTACAGTAACTATGGCCAGGCCTAGCAGTTCTTCCCTACAGTTCATTGTCATGAAAGTCAGAAATTACATTACAGTAACTATGGCTGGGCCTAGCAGTCCCTCCCTGCAGTTCATTGTCATGAAAGTCTAATGACCAGTGAAGAATCTGAAATAGAAATAACTGGTCATTCAGCACCTGTTTATAGTGGTCTTGTTTTGGTGGTCACTGCGAAGTGAACAGTAGAATTTAAAGAGTTTCAACTTCAATTTGTTGGCGAATCATGGATAGATTTCATAGAAGATATCAGGTTGTTTCACTCGTGAGAAAATCGTCGGACGAATAGAACTTTAGAAAACAGCTATCGTCGGACGAATACAACTTTAGAAAACAGCTAATTATAACAGATTGTTACAAATTGTCTACAAGTGTCGTGAGAAGATTAAGGAATTGTTTCCAAACCAATAACACATTTGCTCAAAAAACTGGACAGGACAGACAGTTATCTACCGCACAAACAAGCGACTATAATCTTTTGATTCTGATTTGCCACAATCATGGGTTGTATGCTACAGGATGAATCGGATGTCCACAGCTGCAACTGGACGCCATTTCAGTACGCAAAAGGTAATAAAGAAACCTCATAAGTCCGGCCTGTGTTCATTACTTTCACGGCAAACTACCGAACAGTGATGTCAAAAACGAGTCTAGTTGACGTACGACATGTGGGGTAACATCCTTTTTCCAGTTGAATCACGCTTCATCCTACAGTCAGATAGCAGACACATATATTTGGAGTGAACTTAGAATCACATTCAACGCCATTTTCAAACAGGAACGTGAGTATATGGGAAGTGGTGGAAGTATAATGTGAAAATGATTAAACACCGGTAGACTTTTACATACTGCGGCTTGGTACCGTTAATGTCATACATTAGAGGGACAACATACTACACCCTATACTGCCATATGCTTCAGCTTAATGTGTGATAAGAGCCAAAATGTCCTGATCGATAGAACGTAAATAACAGTATGATAACAACTAAGTGGACAAAGTTATTTATATTTAAAATTGTTCGGATTACAACTTTATTAGAGCAATGTAAAATACGGGGTTAAAGACAATAATTAACAGCGAATTTTTTTAAATCTAAATGTACCAGGAAAGTGTTTACATTTTTACGAATACACGTACTCTGTACACAACCTTCTCTGTTGCGGTAGTGATATCCGTACTCACACACGCACTTGCCGTTAGCAGAACAGAGGGTGTTAGCCATGGTACACTGCTCGGACACCTCGCAACTTCCGAAGAGAGTGGCTAAACGTAAATGATGACAAAAAACAGGTTACAGTTTTTAAGCAAAATTTAGCTTACATATTCCATACAAACGTTTTATAGGCATAAGAATAAAGGTTAAGTATAGCTACGTTTCGATCAGCATTTGTGAAAATATTACATTATTATTATTACGTATGGAGTAAAATCATTAACCCTGGAAATATATTTATTTATTTACTGATTAGTTCTAGAAAAGCTTTATGCATTCGCTACTGAATAAAAAAATATACCAGTTTACAAAATATATATATATATATAATCCCGCACGTACGCTGGGAGTGTGGGGTGTCGATGGGGATCGGCTGAACCCCCTATTTTTGTTTCTGGTGTTTCCCTAATAGAACAATGCTGTAAGGAACTGATTTCACTAATAATGAACGTAGGTGATTATTCACATCGTATCTTCAAGCACAGCAGTAGTATTGCAAACAAATCTAATATTAATGTTAACATGCCACGAGTTAGTCAACGACAAGCACAACGTACAAATACAGAATATAGTTACATGGAGGATTACTTTAAGAAAACAGTAACCACTCCTTTTCTTGACCACATTATCAATAATCTTTCCTCCAGACTTATAAGCAGTTGTAAAATATTTGATTTTCTGTATATTCAAAAAACCATTGTAATAAAACAGGTCGTGACATTACCATTACTGTCAACTGTTTATTACCTTTTTTCTTGTTTACCACTTTACAGCCGAAAATATTAATAAACGGCGAGATGAAACAACGAATATTTTAAATGGTGATTCAGGAATCTATAACTGGTAATCCATTTAAGAATAATTTCTTCACTAGTTCAAATATGATTAATGTACAACAATCGAATATACATAATCTAAGTAAGAATTTTGATTTTTTGTCCTTATTTATCTATAGTTAATTCCACAGAAAATACATATTATAATACTTCCAGAAATTTAGGTGAAGAGTTACATCTTTATATTACAGAGGAATATAAAAATAGTTATATATATATATATAGTTAGAGACCATAATAAGTCTGGAGGTATATTATTTGTAAGTAATGAAATGTACAAGAAGTAATTACTGAATTTATAATAGCTAAAGTAGTAAGCATTAGTGTACGTATAATAATACCAATTTCCAAAAATAAAGCAACTTATAGACTTTATCAATATAGTATGCTAGTTTAAATTAAACAACTAAAAAAATGTTTCAGTAAAAATAAAACGAAAAAATGTATATATTGTAGGAGACATAAATATAGATGTTAAATCCAAGGAGAATAATGCAATCGAATATAATACGCTGCTTTTAGTTTTTATCCTTATATACTAACTACTGCTAGAGAACGGTCAAATACATGTCTTGATCATATTTATACCAGTACAAATAAAATAGATTTCTTACAAACAGCAATCTTAAAGATATGAATTACCGACCATTTTACCACAGCTCTTAAAATTAATTTAATATATAAAACTATGTATAAAAGTAATGGTAATTTACATAATAATGAAGTTTTAAAAATAAATTACAAAAATATTAATACAAGAAGAAAGAATTTATTTCAGTAGCATCTTTCAAAAATTAAATGTACAAGATGCATATTAAGATTTTATTATAAAATTAGAAAATATAATTACATCATTTATGGAATATGTAAATACAAACAAGGAAAAAGTTATAACCATGGATGACAAATAGATTATTACAACCTATTCAACAAGGAAATAAAATGTATAGAAATATTAAAAATATAAATTACCAACTTATAACGAATTGGTCGAGTTTAAAAAATATTTAAGTAAGCTTATAAAACAAACGAAAATTAATTACTATAAGAAAAGAAAATTCAAACGAGCTAAGGAACGAGGGAATTTAAAACTTCCTAAAGTAAACAAAGAAATCTTTAGAAAAATCTATTTATATCAATCACTTTTATTAATAAAAATATAAAGTCAGTATTGAAGAAATGGATAAATCATATAGAAGAACCAGAAAGTCTTTATAGTGTATACATAAAAAAAGATATAATATATATATATATATACCAGTTCAATAATATATATTAATTGTTATAACATGTTAAAATGGGTTTAAACTGCATAAAATGTAATGAATCAAGTTGTAATTAATTTATTGTTTAATAATTATTTATAATCCAAAATCGAGTAATCTTAGGCATCTTTCTTTTTTGTATACTTTATATTTTGTTCTCTATTTTAAATTGAGTGTATTGTACTTATTTTTCGGAATAAATTGAATATGAAATTTTGAAGAAAAAAAATGTTATAT